AAAAATTTGTCGTGCGACAAATGCGATATTAAAAACATTAGCCCTACACGTGATATTTATACGAGACCCAGTTGTTTCCGTCAACCATTCTCGCAAATACCGTCTTCACCTCACGAGGAAAAGTAACGTGCACGTTTCTCACGTTGCATATACGAGTATTACGGCGCGTGAGTTACGTATGTGTTGTGATATGATACGATTGACCTTATGACCTTATTACGAGTATCTCTGGCCTTTCTTTCGTTAATTCCGAGCTGCTCCCCTAGATTTCGTGTTACGGAAAACGCTTGAGGATTCCCTTCCGCGTTCGCGAGAACTCGTAATTTTTTTCTATATCCGCCCAAATTCACGGAGGACAACATTCGTTCGCGATTCCGAATCTCAAGAGCCACGGCACCTGAAATTCTGTATTCATTCGCAAACGCACACGACACATGTTGAAATGAAACACTTAATACACACACACACACGCACTCGTGCGGAAGAGACACAAAATGTTTCGGAAAAACGGAGCATCCCAGCTCGCAGAATGACGCTCTTTGAGGATTCTCGACTGAGGAGCTCACAATCGCTCGACTGCTAAACGAATCATCCTGCCGGTTCGTGAAAAGGTGAGCGACGGATTCACCGCGTTGCAACACACGCTCTCATAGCTCTGCCTTTGAACCATGATAAAGTTCACGTTCACCAGACCAGCGAGCGCTACACGAAGTGAGGTGAGCGAAAAATTTTAGTTCACCGCTGCTGATAATACACTATATTAATGCCCGCGTATTCAACATATGGTCGCAGATAAGGATTTCATGAAAAATTATCGCAGGATGATTCAAGTGGAAGATATTTCTGTGCTCATAAGTGATAAAAAAGAATTTCGCTTAAAATTTTTCCAACTTTTTAACTTTATTAAAATAATATATATATAATGTATTTGTTATATATAATAAAAAAAAGGATTTGATGACACCCGCGTAATTTTTCAAGAGTCGAAAATGGTATAAAAAAACAAATTGGTATAAACAGTAACCGATACAGATAAATTTTCGATTCACAATGGTGCACCGGTGTCGTTACATTGATATTATCCAATCAATCTAATTTGTAATATACTCCCGATACATATTTTACGAAGAAGACTATCTACAATATGCAAAAATTGAATCTACGAGATTATAGACATCGTGCAAAAATATGTAAAATGACGTGAGCGTGTCATTTTACATGGCCTTTTTTTTACAATGCATAGTTTCAACTTTTGAAAGCACAAATATCATGAATTTAATGATATGCAGTTTTAAAAATGACCTACACTGGCTAATGTTTTTATTTAAAAGGATTTGGGTCCTTTTCAAGTAATCTGTTCACACAATTGTTACTGATCTCATGGCCAAACGAACGATATGAGATCAGTAACAATTGTGTGAACAGATTAAACTTGAAAAAGGTCGTTTTTAAAAAATTACATATGATTGGTTTTATACACCTGGCGATAAAATCTATTCGTGAATAATGAATTTAAATTGAAATTTATATGTTAATCATGTTCTTCCTTGCAGTTTCTTTTGTAAACTATAAGGAATTCGATATCAATCTAATTGATTTCATAATCTTGGCATTTTATGACACAATGGGAAGCCTGGAATTTGTTCCATACGATATAACTAAAGATCCTTCATTTTATGTTTATATGAAAACAGATCGGTATGCAACTTCAAAATTATTTCCTATTCTTTAATAAATCTACAATAAACGTCGTTTGCTTATTTTATATTTAAAAGACGGACCTGTGAGGACGCGCCTACGAGGAAGTCGCTGGATGTTCTTGAGAGGATCTCGACTACGCCGGTGAATTGAAAGCGTAAATAATACGGGCTTTTACGCTCCTCTTCGTCGTATTTTACTGCTTAAGGTTACGTTTCCATCGACTTGCATTCTCGTAGCTTTCAAATATTAATGTCACGCCCTAGCCCGCCCGCGCAGTCGATTGATACGTAATCGGCGAACACACATTTTGACGATTCTCACGTAGTTCACGTACAGAAGCGACAGCGCTTTTTTCTCTTTTGGAGATCGCCAAAAAGTCCCTGCGGCAAAATTTCTCACGAACGGTTTATTAAATAATTTAACGGCGACTTTGCCTCAATAAGATCTTCCCCCGGTTGGCGCGAAGTCTTCAAGTTCTTCGAGTTAACGAAAAAACGAGCCGCGAATCACTCGGCGAGGTAGAACACTATCTTTTCGCGCGTGGACATCTCCGGGTCCTTCCGGCTTCGCGTTCGCTTACGCTCGTTTACTTCTTTTCGCACGATAGTGTTAAACTTCGCGATCCGCGCGCGTAGACGGTTGCCGCAAACCTGTGCACAAGCGGACCGCTCGTGTGTTACTGTTCATTAGCGGGATGCCGAGCGTGTGGCATCGCTATCTTATCACTCGCCCTTGTAAGTAATAGACTTTACCCACATATCGAATTGTAAAATACTCGTCCCTCGGTCCACGCGGTTTTTCTTACGCGGCAAACAACCCCTCCGTTTACGCGGCACTTTTTACACGCGGTTTCAGTGTCGCGCGATCTCAGTTTACGCGGTTGGAAAACATATCTTTCGATAGTATTTATTAAAGTTATTATCGTAACGGTAAGCCAGAAGTCCTCACTTGATTGTACTCGTTGCACACATCCATTCTGTCCCTTTTTCGGTTGACTCGTGGAGAGCGTATTAAGCTTATCCGCGCAAGCGATAACGAAATTATTTTTCTGCTCCCATACTATTGTTATCTTTGTGCAAATATGTGAGATAAATATTTTTACACGGGCTTTTCTCTTACGTACTTTTTTTTGTACTGGCAGACTCCATTTACGCCCAACCGCGTAAAAAAAAACTCCAGGTGAAACGAACACCGGTTCCACGCGAATCGCGAAACGAGTGTATAAACTAGTGTTTCTATCTTTGCCGTGCACTCGCTTTTTCCAAAATTGAACCTCACTCCTGATTAAACCACAAATCTAAAAATTGATGAACTAGGTACGTCATCCACAGGCACAGTATCGATGGCTGCATCGATTGACTATCGTTGTCTGGTAATAGTAATACTTTGTGCGACCCTGTTTTTCTTATAATTTCCTCAAGGTTGTAACAACCAGCTTTGCACAAGGCACGTAAGCCGCATAAATCTTTAGACGTTGCACATTTGTCGATAAGATTAACGGTTTGCTAATTTTCACATTTAAGGTGGCACCTGCACGAAGGAGCGGTTAGTATGGGTGCTTTTATTTTTGCAAACTTATGTGACTTTCATAAAAAAAAATATCACTTAATGTATTATTGATCAAATGCATTGATGCACGTTTAAAAATATATTTAAAAATATGTGTTGTCGAGTCTCAAAGAGCTGTCAATTTTCCTCAAAACATTGTATCTTTTAACCAATCTTTTAACCAATACGAATTAAAACAGTGAGCTTATTGTCAACCCAACTGGCAAATTCTTTTTTCAAGTAACAATGCTGCAAATCAACAAAATATAAGAGATTAAAATTATTAATTAGTCATCTAGTAAGAAAAATTAATTAACGAGCCAATTCGACTTGAACTGATTCGTAGGTAACGTCGTAAAGCAACAAAGGTGATATTACGGCCTACATAGATTTGATTACACAGTCATACATTACATTTAAATTTTCGGTGGTCAGTTTATAAATTAATGGTGTTATTAGTTGTTCTTATAAAAAACATTTCAGGAATTTCGCGTTTCTTCATTAGACGCTCGCTATGTAAAATTGTTGATGCCGACCAATTAAACTCATGGTCATGTAGTACGCGATGTCTGCTAACGACGGCAGCTTTTGTGTTTCTTAATGTCGGTTTTATGTACATTAATGCGAGTCTGTAAGTGTCGTTTAATCTGCCCAATACGAGAAACTTCACAGTTATTACATTTGATACTGTAGACGACTTCTGTTTTTTTGCCCCGATTCAATTGGTCTTTACCTCTTTTGATTAGTCCGTCAAGTCTGTTAGGGACATAAAATGACGACGACTGAAAAGAAGTATGAGAACGCAAAATATTGTACACAGCAAAAAATAAAATGTTAACATTCTTCACGTGTCCCAAAAAGTCCACTCTAAACTTTACGTTAAAATAACATTCGTCGTGTTACTGTCTGATAAATTATAAATGTTAATTAACGCTATACGTCACATTTATGTTTATGTTCTTTTAATCTCAAGTGTGATGTAATAAAAACATACAGGAGCAGTAAACTGTACGAATAGTTATACAAATTAAAATAAAAGGTAAAATAATTTTTAAGAAATGTCGATATTACATGTCTCGGTTGATTTTGTGAAATAGTTGTGTCAAAAGAATTAAAAAATGGTTGTGCGAAAAAGAGCTCAAAATAATATTCAATTTTTTACATAACATACGTAAAGTGTCAAGTTATTATATTAACATAAATACATATAACGCATAAAAATGTTACGAAAACAATAACATGTCTGGTTTATGTTAATTTTACATTGGAATAATAATCAAATCTTGGTAACGCAAGAAAATTTAAATATTTGAACACACGATTGTTTATTGTGTACACAAGGTGACCAAAATGCAGAATAAAACGTTGATCAATTTTTGGCCGACTGGAACGTTGGTAAAGAGAAGTCTGTCAATGCGATTAAGTAATCGTTGACTCAATACCGGAACATATACGGATATAAATAAAGAAAAGATAAGAAGTTGAAAAGATCGAGCTTGTGTGTGGAAAAGAAGCACGTGATTCACAGTTGTGTCTATCAGACAAACCGGGTATCTCTAACCGCAATACAAAATGTACAATACATCACATGCCTTAGTGGGTAAAAGAAAGATTTTTCTTTACAAATCTAATCGCGGTATTTGCGCCAAACTCAAAATCTTGGTGTTATAGCGACAACACAATAATCCATTAATCGAATCACACAATTTGTCAATTCACGTGATGTTAGCAACGATACGCTTATAACGGACGATTTAAAAACAATGGCGAAGATATTTCACTTTACAATTTTTCAAAATCTCGCCTCGTTCGAGTTGATACGATCGGGATTAAACGGTCGCTCGTTTTGCTCATCGTCTGCATTTAGCCCTCGATTTGCCCGACGTTATTCCCGTGCGGGAAACTCGACGAAAGAATTTAATCGGCGCATGCAATATGAAATGCAATCAATCGAATCTATAGCGGATGGATGTACCTTACAATTTGATTTTATCGGGTTTACTAACGCCCTATTTAAATGACGTCCGTTCGATTGACATATTGTTAGTAAAGCGACGGCAATAATGCCGTTAACTAAATTTGCATCGATAATCATAATCATGTCTATGAATTTAATCGTCCGCGCTCAATCATAACGGAATATTACATGCAAATTTTTCGGTACTCAATCGCAGTGCAGTGACGGATTCTGTATAATAGGGGACACTCGTGAAGCGAAATTTTACGTCATCGCTGCGCAGCTCGCCATCGAACTTTGGCATATTCACGATAACGATGAGAATCTACAACTTTAAGATCTAATGAAACGTGAGCGCTTTGGCGCTCATTAATTCAGCATGAATTAATATTGAATCGATATAATGAGGAGCGTTATCAAGCGTTATTTCATGGATCTTCTGCGTCACAATTATACATCCAGAAAAAAAGATTTATTTAAATTCAACGAGACACAACTAGTTGTTAATTACTACTGGCGACTTGAAGAATATTTTTATTAGTCAACGAGATGCGTTGAAATCGTGTTTCTTTGAATCTACTAAATTTTTATTTATTTGTAAAACACTTTCTTACATTTGATGAAATAGATATGAATTTTCTTAGAAATTTCAGTCTTAATCAAATACAATTTTGGTTAAGTTAAAGAAATCATTTCTTTGAAATTAAATAAAAACCTAGTAAAGTCAAAATTCAAAGAACATTTGTTGGATTTTAAAGAAACTTTTTTCTGGACGTACTTCTACCAGGGGAACTCCGCAAAGGAATTTGATCAGCAAATAGTGCGATTAGTCGATACTTCGCGTGTATTTTACTCTCTAATTCTGTCGTGCCAATTCCAGCGTCCAATTCATTAAAATTGTGCCGAGATAAATGAACGGAGTTTCGGTGAATTCGACGAAGAAAAGACCGCGTTCGTTTTCTACCCGCGTGCCGTTTAAACATTTTCGCTGTATGAAATAAAACTTACCACTGCTGTGTAACTTTAAAACACGCAGCCTGCACCTTTATAGAATAATTTACATGCATTTATTAGAGGCATATATTGTACCGTTATAGAACGATATTTATCGATAATTATATCGTCATTTTATATCGTCATCTCGTGCTATAATATTCGTATCAATTATTCGCATCATTGATTCTTCCCCTTCTAGCAACGCGTACAATTTTCTATTGTCCCACGTAATGTGGCTGTTACGTTCCTAGCTGACATGCCAATGAATAAGAGATAAGAGAGGCGGCTCATGTATGTGTATTAAGTGATAAATGTAACGTTGTGTTCGTTGAAGCATATCGTTCTCGATTTTCGATGTAATACTTCTCTTTCGCGAATCTGCCCAGCCGCTATCTTCCATCTATGGAACGTTCTCGCTTGTGGACATTTCTCACGATATATGCGGCGACACGTCGGGTTCACAATAGCTCCGAGACACGTCACTGGTTTCTTTTTATCTCACTCGCGCTTTCCGCGTTACGTCGACACATAACAGATATTACGTACTAATTATACTACAAATATACGTTAACTTATCAACACAGGCTTCGATTACGTGCACGCACGCACGCACGCTCGTGGTCGAAAATATATCTATCATCGGCGGCGGGCGACTTATCTAACAATATAAGTATCGTCGAAAGCGCCTTAAAATGCGACCAACGTGTCGCCGATGCGGGCCGATAACGCAACGGCCGTGAAATCGGCCCGATATACGTAATTTTACTGTTTCACCAGTGAATTTGTAATTCACGAGTCGCCACCCCGAGCAGAAATTTTAGAAGGTTCCTAACAAGGACCTAACAAGCATGCCCTATTACGCACTTCTCAGGTAGCCTTTGTTGGGCCCTGACCATAGACGTGACGTCAACAATTAAAATTTCCCGATCAGGTTCTCCTTACCAAGATCTCATGGCTTGTCCCTCCCTTGGGACAATACACCTTGAAAAAAATCTGAGGTTTACTTCAGAAAAATAAGAAATACGAAGAGTAAATTTGGACACTTTAAACGTCTATTTGAGGTAAACTTAAAACTTACTTTAAGAATTTAAAAGAAAACTTTAAGAATTTTGTGGAAAGTATGTGAAACCGCAGTTTTCTTCTTACGAGAAAGTCTCTTTAGCGGGAACGTGGACAATCCTGGCTATCTAAAAATTACTTTACGTGTCCAAAATTACTCCAAACTCTTAAGTAAACCCTTAGACTTGAAGGATTACATTTA